CACAAAAAAATTGTTCGTGTTCGACTCGTTTGCTTGGCGAACGAAACGAACAGAAGTTATTTAACGAGTCGAGCATGAACTATTCACGAACAAAGATTCATTTTGACAACCCAACATATGGACATACTACCTCAATTTGGAGTCAACTAGCACGTGACGTACACTTGACTAAAAATATCTATATTAGAGAATTTTTATTAAGGTCAATTATGGTTACTTAGGGTTGGCCATTTGACTGACTCAAATGTCATTATTTTTGGACTAATTTAAGCCATTATAACATTATGATGCATTCCTCGACACATCTAAGAGCTTGATTGTACAAAAAAACTTGACAGTCCTAATATATGCAAAAACATGAGGGCCCTCAAGTTTAAGGGCCTAATTAGGATAGTTGTTATTGATCCGTATGACAATCATTAATTACAGCAAAACACAACTGATAACATTCACTTAATAATAATAGATTAATAATAGTTGAAGCAAGATTGATTGAGAATCAATTAGATTAATCAGATTGACAAAAATGAGATCATATTGGGTAAACTTAGTAGATTGGTCATGATCATGTTGCATATCTTGAGTTGGAGGTGAAAAAACATTAGTTTGTCCACTCATTCAAGACTACACATGATATTATGATTTGACTGCAAAGCAATAAAGAGTTGATGCATTTCTCAAGCTTTTTAGAGGTTAGCATTGAATATTGCTCACATTGATTTTCTGAAGGTAAGCTAAAAAGGTTTAGTGGCCAAATGGATTTAAGATAGAACCCAACTAAGGTTTTGGGCTAGCTAATTAAGTTAATCTCATGCTAGTTTAGCTTATATGAGTTTGAGTAACCTTTGAAAAATTTGAATTTGATTTTGCCACTAAATTAAATAGTCAATTTGAAATTATATTGGGTAAATTAAGATTACTTAAAATGAATTAAGACCATATTAAGCCAATATAGATTAGCTAAGGGTTAAATACGATTAATGTAGGACTCCTTACACAAATGATAACTTTGTAAGGTCAACTAAAATCAAACTAATTCAACTAGGTTCAAAGATTAATTATGTTAAGCATGACCTTGTTGAATCAACCCAACCAACACTTGCAATCAAGACATCGAAGATTGACAGTTGAACTATTGCCTTCTTGGTTTATTATATATGATCATATACTTAATGGGATCGTCTTAGGTCAATTAAAATCCTTTCAAGTTATTTAAACTAATCATATTAATATCAAGTCATATGTGAATTCAACAATATAATTAGGAATCCCTAAAGTTAAAAGGGTTTATATGTAGTTAGGGACTGTTTAAGATTAATTTTGTTACTTATTTAATTTATTTATTATTTTATTTGAAATAAAATATATATGACATATTAAAGTATACTTTTAATTTAATTTTATTAAGTATTAAATAACTTAATTTATGTGATGATTGAAGTAGTCACTTGTGTAGCACTGATAGTAGCTAATAAGGCAATAATAGTCATAACAACAATGGTGGCTGACAGTGGCGGCTATTAATATTGACTGAAGGTAGCCAATTGTGATTATAATTATTTTTAAAAATACTTTAAATACCATTTTAGTATTTTAAAATTTTATTTATTTTAAAATACAAATAAAAATATATGAAAACATACTATATAAATATGTTTTAAAAAAGGGATAAACTAAAAATTATCTTAAAAAGTCACTTAATCGTTATAGGCCATTTATATGGTTAAGCTAAATAGCACTAACTAAATTAAATTAATTAAGGCTCACTTGGGTGAGCAAAGACCAACTTGAGTTAACTATGATTTTGATAGGTTAATTAGTACCATACCGAGTTAATTAGATTTGCCATTTAGGTTGAATATATTCTTTAAAATAATACTAAATTACTTGAGATCGTATTATGTTAATTAGAACCCCACTAAGTCGAGTAAGGTTGATTCAAGTCATTCTTGTCACATTAGGTAACCTAATGCCACATTATTTCAATTAAGATTGTGTAAGGGTAATTAAGTTTAATTGTCCTTCTTTTGATATAATTCACTAGATGAGCTTGTATTAATAAATCAATTTGTCTTAATGTGCATGACACTGAGTTAAAGGACAATTCCTAATGATTTTTTTTTTAGATATATGGGCTTACATCCAAAGCATAAGTATATCTTAATAAGAAATTCAGTGGGAAACCTATTAACTCATTTACATCTCTTATTATATCTTACCCCTAGCTTGTGTGTAAAATTTTACCAACCATATAGATAAATAACATCAAATTGTAAAATTTAATTATAGTATTTTTGAGGTTTTAAAAGAGGAATTAAGAAGAATAAATTAGTCATTGGTCTAATTAAAATCCTACTGTGCATAGTATGAACCTTAATGGGATGGATCCGAGGACACTCAATCTACATGTACTTCAAGAGTTCAATGTTATTAAAATAGCTTAGCTAAAGCATGTCGTTTGAATCATGCTAAAATTGACCTAATGTGGCTCAAACAAACTAAACTAAGGCAACTACTTTACATTCATTCTACAAGTAGAAGAAGAAAGGGATCAAATTACTAACTCCTATAATGGACATCTAGCCTATTGCAACATAGGTAATGATGCATCAACCAATATACATGCAACCAACTTTGATAACTTTTCTAATGAAATAATTGGCCCTCGCAAAAATTGATTGTTTGCCCTCATTTTTAAAGTACCCTTAACTACATAAAATGGTGGTTGATGCTTGTGCAACTTTGATATTGAAACAATCATTGTTTAGACTTTAGAAATAATCAACATCATATTTTGAGCTCCTTAGAAACTTGGAGGTTCATATTTGTCAAAGATAAGTTAGAAGAAATTATAGGTTTGAGTTTTATCCCCTTCTATATGAGGGAAATAACTCCAATTGATCACTAACAAATGTCTCCTCTTGATTCTCTTAGTCAATGTTAGAGGGCTTATGGTGTGCGACATCCCATTAAAAAGAGTTAATAAGTTGTTTTGGTCAACCCGATTTGGCTAGGTTTGATTAATGAGCTCACATTGGCGAATCAGACTACATCATGACTTGCTTGAATTAGATTAGATCCTAATTTCAACCACTTATTATGTAAACAAGCTCCATATTTTTCATTTTTATAGATTATCTATGGTAACTATTTTCATTGTTAATATTAATTAATCCTGTAAGGATGTAGAGTCTTGTATCGTTTGTGAGTACATACAACCATGTAAAATATCTTGTATTGTAGAGAGAATTCAAGAGAGGGGGAGAGATGGATGACATTCTTTTGAAGGGATCGTGATAAATATGTTAATTTCCAATCCTCGATATGTCGGAAGGAGGTGGTTCCTCGATGGTTCCCTGAGTTGTAGGATTTCAGAGAAGGGGAAAAAAAGATAGGTTAAGAACCTTAGATAGAGAATCTCTGGGTAGAGCCAAAGAGGATCCGTCCGGGAAGCCCCCTTTTTCTCTCTTTTTTTTTTCGTTTCTTATACATGAGAGAGAAAAATCATAGAATAATTTAAATAATACATCTTGTTTGTCATGGTTAACTTTCTTTGATATATCTTGATGGAAAGTTCGTGACATAGATGTTAAATATTGCTAACTAATATGAAATATTGATGGCTTGGTGACCATCCCCGGTGTCTGGATGAAAGCACCAGAACCCAAGCATCGAACGTAGTCGAGTGATTAACATACATCAACCCTTATCGACATAGGTGGCCTATGCTGTCTTTTTAAGGAAGGTAAGGATGATCCGTTCAACTATTATGGTAGGTGGGCTCGATTCAACTACTTATATCGACAAATTTGATTCAATCACTTCGGCATGTTGGCTCGATTCAACCACTTCAGCTAAGCTAGTGAGCTCGATTCAACCACTTCAGCACAAGTGGACTCAGTTCAATCACTTTAACAGGTGGGCTCGATACAACCACTTAAATGGATGAGCTTGCAGGTTCAACCACTTTGACAAGTGGACTCGATTAAGAGAGAATTTTTAGTGAAATTTTTGCATACCCCGTATTTAAGTATACAATTAGCCTTCTTGCATTATAATTAATAAGCTTCATCTCCAAAAGCACACTTTATATAGATAGATAGATACATAATATATATATAGAAATATAGAAAGAGAGAGGGAGAGAGGTGCAAAATATTTGATGCTTAGAATAAGTAAAAGCAATTTATTGATCACATAAATACACGAGTAGTTGTAATGACATCCTCAAAATCAACTAAAGAAAAAATGTAGTATAAACGTACCATCCAAACGTCCAATAATTAATAATGACATTACACCATCCCTATGCGGACCCATCACCCACTTGCTCCACATATATCCAATGCGTGCTCAGCCATTATACATTATTATGTTGAGTTTATAAACCAACAAAATCTTCACATAATTGACAAACATAAAGAAGCAAACATAGGAAAAAGTATCCAATAATTTACCCCACAACCATACACATTGAAATACTTTGGCTTAACATATTCTAATTAAACTTTTGAGCCATTTACATATATAGCACATAACTCTTATGTATTTGCATATCTCACGACAAAATTTTAATATTTACACGCACATCACTTAAATATTTAATATCACATAAAAACGTGCTATTACCACATTTATATGTAAATATGAAAGTATAGGTGTGAGACATGTAAATTTCTCTAATTTTTTTAAAATTTTATTTAATTTCATTTATATTTCAATGTTCTCAAAGTAAATCTAATAATTTATGTGCACATACATGAAAAAGAAATTGATATTAGAATAGTTTGACAAAAATGTCACTCCAAGCTCAATGCAATAAACTATGTTTTCTATGAACAAAATTATATCTTGTGTTTCAAAAATTCAATGGTGTATTCTACAAATATAATTCATTTATATCTATTTTTGGTTCAACTTACTTATATATAAGAACTCATTTATAGGAAACAATAATGTCATTGATTTAATGAACTCATCATGGTGAAAATTTAGAAAATTTACATCACAACATAAGGTTTTTTTTTTTCCTCCTTTTACATGCATAATGTGCATGCAAGCCTTAAGATTCCATGCATGTTGGAATTTAGTTTATTCTTTAGCCTGCCAAATCATGTAGCAGCTGAGCTCCCATCAAGTTTCTATATGGGATGTTCTGAGTCTCTCCCTCCAATATTGAAAACTGCACTTCATCTCCTTCGTCTCCAATGGCCAACTCCCTTGTAAAAAGCAGAGGCCTTTCATGCTGCTGCAAGCTGAGGGTGAGCTCATGGCCACCATGGTAAGAACCAAAGTCTGTCTCAAGAATGCCATAGGTCTGACTTGGGTTACCAATATTTGGGTTGTGGTGATGAGCGTTGATGTTGTTGATTATGGATGAGAGAGATTTATGGTCTTCAAAAGGTGGTTGAGAGGTTGGGCTAGGGTTTGGGTTAGGGTTAGGGTTAGAATAAGGATTATTGCTGCAATTGCCTGCTTCTTGCATGGTGGTTGCATGGGAGGACTGGCTGTTCTTGTCTTCCTCCTTCAACTCTTCCATGTACATCTCTTCTATCATGGGCTTCCATAGCCTCACCCTAGCATTTATGAACCAATTGGAGACCTAAAAAACCCATGAAATTCAGAAAAAAAAAAATTATTTCTATATAATGCAGATTAATAGTTTATCAAAGTATGAGATTAATTTGCATTCCAAAATGCTATTTTGATACCATTTGACTGCTGTAATATCTGTGCAAATATTCTATTTTGCATAAAGTGAGTTAATTTCTATAAAATCTGTTTGTAAACATTATTTATAAAATCTTTTTCACTTATCACATATTTTACAATATGTGGTGAAGGGTGCAATAAACTACACTGAAAATTTGATGGAGAGTTTATAAGAGTAATGAATCTAGCATGCATGGAATGTAGTTAATATGGTATTTATGTAAGACTTACCTGGCTCCTAGATAGCCCAGTTTGCCTAGCCAAAATGTGCTTATCAACATCACTTGGATACCTACATAATAAATTAATAGTATGATGAGGAATCCCATTGTCAGTATTGGTATTAAATGTTTGCATCAGCAATATAGAAGCAATAAAATAAAATAAAAAAGAGATAAATATGCAAGAAAAATTTTCAGCTCAAATCTCACTATAAACTCCTTTGGATTTAATTTGAACAGTTCAAATTATAAAGCAAGATTTGAAAAAAATAGTGAAATTTACTAAAGATATCATAAGAACACATATTGACTAATTAACACTTCAAAAATCTCCTCATGCCTCTGCATATTGTATTTTTTCTTACTCATAAAATGAATATATATACATATATATATATATATATATGATTATATGCTAGATTCCAAGACATGTTCATGTATTGTGGAGAGCTCTCACTAAAAACAGTAACAAGTGGTTAAAGAAGAAGACAATTAAGAAGACAAAGTAAAACTAAATAATGATTTTCAGTCCATTTGTACATTGCTAAAGAACAAATATGGAATTAAACAATTCAGAAAATGACTCTGTAAGAGTTAAATTTCTCACCCATTTGCCAAATAATACACCTATTTTCTTTTATTTATCTTATAAAGGGAGACAGCTTGCATTTTAGTATAAAAAAAAAATTCCATTATTATATAAATAAAACAATGTATGTACAAATGATACAAAAAAGCATATAATTTGAGCTTGGTCAACCATTTGGATTCACTGACAGTTAAGGACAAGAATGGTGAGTGGTGGATAAAAGAGTCAAACCAAGATATAATCTGGTATAATAATTATTAAAAAATAATCATAATAATTCATTCATCATCAAGAATACTAAATAACTAAAGAAAAAAAAAAAAAAATCTTTATATAATGTTTCTTGGGGCCCAATCATTTAAAAATTATGTGAAAATTTAAATAGACAAGTTGAAGTTCATGCATAGAACAAATTTGTAAAAATCATGAATATGATCAAGCAATATATACAATTTGAGTCAGTTTTGTAATTTTCTTAATTATATATATATAAAAGAAAATAGAAAAAAAAAAAGAATTAGTCTGTTCTTATGTATTTTTCACTGAGGCCCTGATTAAATTTAAAATTGAGTTATATCTAACAATATATTTGATTACATTATCTGTGAAAAATTCTATAAGGTTTTATATTATGCAACTTGGCCATATATCTATCCTCCATACATGCTGTTTTTTGGGAGATTTACATACACACCACACTATTCCTATGTATTTACATATTTAACGCCTAAATACATGAACTGTGTATTTCTTTCTTAACAATTGAAATAATGCATTCTTGATGTGATCTGGGGGGCATAACTGCAATAAATAAAATTTAAATGTTAGTTATGTAAAATACATATAACAAGTGATAAAAATTATTTCCCTTCCTTACATCTCTTAATCTTGCAATTTTGCAATAAAACCCATAACTTCATTAAATTTGCATTCATTTAATATAATTACCATACATTAATTATCAATGAAGCATAAACTACAAGCTTGGCAAGCAAACTACTTCTTTCAAGCTAATTTCTTCGCTATGATATATAAAAGACTTTACTTTTTAGTTTATATCACCTAATTAAAAATTATATTAGTAGCAGTTCCTTTAAAATATATATTTGCAAATCTATCATAATTTAATTACATAATAATTCACTGGTATGTATATATGCAAATCTATCATAATTTAATGCAAAAGAAATGATATGTAGAGAAGAAGAATATTACGGATGGAGAAAGTGTTCGAAAAGCCATGCACGTAGAATGGAGACCGAACGGTCCGGTAAGCCACGCTGCGGCCTCCATGGATGACTCTCTATCATTCCAGCCTGCTGAAATGCTTTCTGTTGTCTAATGCATTGATCCAGCAACTTCAACCTTGGTGTCTCTCCCCTTGTCAAGCCGGCCGCCACCGCCGTCGTCACCGTCGCTGCGGCGGCTTCGTTCTCTCCCATCGCCCTCCTCGTCGCCTTGATCTGCCCGGCGATCCCGTCTCTCAGGCATCGAAAATGCCGCGACATCGCCTTCGAAGCGAGCTGCGAGTATGTCCTCGCAGCGCCTTCGCCGGCGATTTCCTCGAATGCCAAAACTACAGCCTTCATTTGCTCGCAGTATCTCCTATACCTCCTATCCACCTATCCAAATGAAAATGTAGGTTAAATTAAATTCAATATTGATATTGTATCATAATTATTTTATATATGCTACAAATGTATAATTGTAATTATGTAAATTCATAAGAGAATTTTTTTCTTACATATTACTAAGTGAGTTTTATGTAAATGAGCTAAATTTCTCTTTTATATATATATATATATAAATATATAAACTTGATGAGTAGTATTTCGAGCCATATATATATTTATATAAAAGAAAAGGGTAAAAAAATAAATATAAAGAAAATTTTAGACTGAACAGAAATATATGGGTATTAATGTGATGAACTAGGTTTGCACTGCTACTATAAATTCTGAAAGGGAAATGATTCTTAGATCAGCTAGCTCTACCATAAAAATAAATAAATAAAAAATAATTTCTGATATTAATTTATATTAATTTGATATAATTATTTCAATCCTAAGTCATGAAAAAAAGGGTATTTTTACAGAGCAAATTGAGCCATCGAATCGAATAATACGGTGTGGTAGTCCCACATGCTTGTGGGCACACGCTCCCTCCATACAAACTATTAATTGTGTGTGTGTGTGTGTGTGTGTGTGTGTAAGTCCCCTTTGGCAAGGGTTCGATCCCTACTGTGGTGCGTTGGGAATTTTATGGCACATAATGCGGGCTCTTATCATGGGGGCCGGATTGCATATGAGAAATCGATATTTAGGCCTCTGCCAAATATCGATATATATATATATATATATATATATATACATCTTCCTCATGGTTTACTGCAATATTATTATGAGGCATATAAATATTAATTTAAATTGCAGAAAAGGCCATCCTAACAAGAATGTAAAATTAGTAAGCCTTTAATTACCACAGCAGATGCAATAATCTAAAGTTTCAGTACTTTAGTGGGTTCCATTTAATATCAATAATAATGAGGAAGGGGATGGAAAAAAACTATAGAGTCAGATAACTATGTAAAGTGGAGAATAGAGGTTTCCAAAATTAAGTAGAGAAGCATCAAACTGTCATTCTGCCCCCACTCAGTAGCAGCATCTACCTATGGTTAGCAGAATTTCTTTTCTCAAAACCACCAAATATTTCTAAAATTTACATTTTTTTAAATAAATTTAAAAAAAAAATTAAATTTTTCACCTCTTCTAACATGGAGAGAAGCTTTGCCTTTCTCTTCTGCAACTCTGAGGGTTCCATGGAGTAAAGTGATTGTTGGCTCCAAGAAGAACTGGAATCCTCCATTGGCTTAGCACTGTTGCTCCTCCTCCTACTGCTATTCCCATCTCCTAGGCTACAAAACTCATTTATAAGCTCTTGTGTTGGAAGAAGATATTTGCAGCTTTTTATATGGAAAGGATGGGGAGAAGAGAGATGATGGTGGAAGGAGGGGGGCTGAGGAGGGTTATAAAGTGATAAGGAAAGACTTTGGATTTGGTTTGCGTGAAGAGATTCCATCGGCCAAGCGCTCGGGCGGCCCCCGCCCCTGACGCCGCGGCGGGGGCGGCGCCGCCGCTTTCTTGCGAGAATCTCCTCCAGCTATGATTTGATGGCATATCCATTGCAAAGAGATCGTGACCCCCGGTCTCGAAGTTGGTCATCGTCGAAGAGTTTGCGGCCATGGCCGAGAACTCGTCGAAGGGGTGTTGGTGATGATGAAGATTATGATGCGATTCGTGAGACATCATGAAGGAGATATTGATGAAGTTGTGGAGAGGCAAAGAGAAAGATCAAAAAGATGGAAATTTGTAAGTTTATAATTGATGAAGGGAGGAGGTGGGCTCTAGTTCATCCAAGCTACGAAGCAAGATGGGATCTTTTTCTCTTAAAAAACTAGGGGGAAGGCTGAGGAGGAGAGAGAGAGAGAGAGTGGGGGGAATCAAAAGAAGTAATTATCTCTTTTTATGGGTAGGAGAGAGGACTAAAGCTATATAGCAGCCGCCGCAAGGTGGTCCCAAGAACGCATACACCTTCCAAGCTCTAATCTTTTTTCTATTGCAACCTTAACTCCGCTTTGTTGTTCTTAGTTTCTCTTTCTTCAATCTTCTTTAATGGCTACTCAGCACTTTAGGCAAGATACGGGCTTTCTTCTCAGCGCAAGGAGTGGCCAAAACCGGGATTGGTACTAATCCCTATCCCTCCAAAGTAGCAGTTCCTCATATCCTTTTTCTTCTGCCTCTGATCCCTAAGTGAAGTAGCTTCATAAGAGATTTCTGATCCCAAAGTGAAGGAGGAGAGAGAGAGAGAGAGATAGGAAGAGAGAGAAAGGGGAAGAAGAAGAAGAAGAAGAAGAAGAAGGAGGAGGTGTGGGAAGTGGTCCTATGATCCCAACCAATTCCAATTAAGAGGGATAATAAAGGATGGTAGCCACCAGCCATGGGACCAATTTTCCTCTTACCTTTTCTTCTTCTCTCCTAACAGTTATTGTGTGTGTGTGTGTGTAGGCTAACTTTCTCATACGGCACATGGAAACTTCAACTGCCCGCGTGCGCGCGCATTCTTTTGGAAATCACTGTAGCCGGAACGAACTTCTTATTAGGGTCCGTTTGATTTACAGTTTTGATTTTAATGATGCAATGTGAATTAATATTATAAATTTTAATAATTTTTAAATGGCCATAAAGTTTTATGAGGATTATTATTGTTGAGAAATTAGGGCAAAGAAAATAAGAATCAACACCAATCCAGAAGAACATAAAAACTTAACGAGGTTCAGCATAGATGTCTACGTCATTGGGAGCAGAACGGCGACTTTCTTTCAATTCAGAAAAAAAAAGAACATGATTATCATGCCTATGGTTATCAACAGGACATATATATATAACCCTAGAGTAATATGTGTAATTACAAAATTACTCTTGTAACGTACGCCCCCGCCCCTGCATCCCCAACCCGCATTACAAAACTCTCTCGATTTGACAGATGCTTCCGCTCCACTAGCTCGCTTCGTTCCGCTCCAACATCTGTCCCTTATCTGGTACATGAGTCATACCTAACAATAATTTTCTTATTTCCCTTTTAGATTGGTCATAACATATTTTTATTTTATTCCTTGGCTTTAATCGTATAAAATGTTTCTTTAATTAATGTATGTAATGAGGTTCAGAATTTTATTTGTGAGGATTGTAGGCTTTTGATATTTTCAATTTAATTTCAAGATATTGGTCTTAAGAAAAATGAGGTCTGGGCAAGAAGAAACGACAAGATCAGAACTTACATTTTAGTAGAGCTTCAGAAGATTTATTGAAAAGTAGTTGCCTATGTAAGTGGGAAATTGACTTCAATTAGCTTCCTTTGGTGGGTTTCATCTCTAGTTGATATTTTGCGATTTTCTTATCATATTTTATTAGTTATAATACTATTTATTTATTTTTAGAATAGGACTTAATTAGATATTTATTTTTTATAATTAAAATATTTTTCTTCTGCATATTTGCGTCATCACACACACAACTATATATACATTATAGACGTGTGTATGTTGAATCCTAAATTGTCTTTTGGAAAATATACCCCGAGAGTTAGAGTTGAAGGGAGAAAGAGAGAGGGTTAGAGAAAGTGACAAGTTTTCTTATTTATGTCGTGACCACTTACTTATAAGTGTCTCAAAATACAGTGGTTATTATAACCACTTGAATAACTGAATCAACATATATGTCAAATGAAAATTACATTAGAATGCAAAGGAAATATAATGTCTCTCCCTCGCCAGAAGTTTCGGTTCAACCGGTTATGTCGATCGGCCGCATATATCAGTTCAATTATGCCGAGGAGGCCGGTGGATCGATTAAAAGGAAGCCGATTGATTTTGGTGAGAGGTCTGCCGGCCGACGGTCTTGTCTGGCAGAAGGTCTGTCAATCGATGTGTAGTTGGTCAGATGCTTATCTGACGATATCCAGTTCTTTAATTTGAAAATTTGATCACTTGGGTCTCCATTTCGAGCCGCTCGATCACTTTGAAATTTGTGTTGGCATTTTTGTTATATACATATTAGTTGCTCGTTTGATTTTTATGCTCGTTGATAGCGACATGTACGATAAGGACAAAAAAAATTATTAAAAAAATAAATGACACATTAAACGAGAAAATTAATTTAATTTAAATTCTCTCTTGCGTTTCGTGCCCAATGAACCTTATTAATAGGTCATGAAAGTTAATGATTTGTACATTTCATTGAACGTCCCTTGGTCCCTCGACTGACATCATGCCTCACGGTTAGAGTAAGAAGGATGTTGATGTTTGCCTTTTATTGGAAGATTTTCGACTTCCTAATTCTACCACAGTGGAAAAAAAGAAGAAGAAAGTCATGAAAAAAGAAACGATCAACACACGAATTTGAGCAGGTCCACCAAGTCGCCCATTTGAAAGGTCCTAGCAGTCTTGTGTCGATGAAGCCCCTGAACATGGACCTCGCCAGAAAGTCCTAACTTCTGGTCTTAGCGTGGATGTGATTGTTGAAGAAAGGCAGCGAGTTGGTCCACCCATTGAAAGAACGGAGGGTTGTCAACGGAGTTCCAAAGAAAAAAAGTTATTATAGATTTTCCTTCAACCCCCACTATAGAAAAAAGGATGGAGGTCTCCCAAAATAAGGGATAGAAGAATTTTACATTACCTTTTCTGAACTAAACAAATATTTGGGTATGTTAATTTTTTTTTACTTTGTTAGTCTTTAATAATTCTTTGACATTATTCTTAATGCAGATGGGTCATATACTTCTAAGAATCGTACTTATGGCAGGCCATCCGAGAACATCATCGTTGATTCTGCTCCAACGCCTGTGGCTAAACTGAAAAATCCAGTCACAAAATCTCTACATTCGTTGATCTACGAGGGTGTGTATAGGTCGATAGACCCATTCAACAACTCCCAACAAGAACATTTGGAGAGTCCACAACTGTCCTCCAATTCGATGGAGAACCAGATGACGGATATGGCTGGCCCTTTGGTGAAAGCGACTGAGGAGGCTGCAGTTGTGCCCATGCAGAGGTTGTTGGTTTGTTGTGCAAGGTTGGTGGCAGAGATTGCGGCGCTTCAATACGAACTGAGCTAAGCTATTTGTGAGTTGGTCGTTTTGAGTAAATTCCATTAACATGTCAACCAAATGGAATAAATTAATTTTGGCGAGGAGTTAGTCTTCTGGAGGATGCTCTAGCAGGGGTTTTCCTTGGTTGAAGCACCATAAGACCCTTCTATTAAGTTTTTTCTACAAAAATTGTAATCATTTCCTTCAAGAAAATGTAATCATTTCATTTATAATAAAATAATAGTTTACTTAATGTGATATAATGTTTAGTGTGATACTTATCTTTTCTAGAAGCTTCAACTTCTGCGCTCACCCTATAAATAGGGCTTGAGGTTGTGACTTTATCGCTTACACTTTCTTCCCTCGGAGTTGCTCTCTCAAATTTTTGTGTTCGCAATCTCCTAATGACTTCAAAGTATTCTCCTGCTCTCTTTGGAGCTTGCCTCGCCATTTATGCATCTATTCTGACCGTGACAGACACAAAGGAAATGCAAAACTACATCTTTGATAAGAACATCATCCCGTGACAGGCTCAAGAGTCGGATTGGCCGACAAGCAACTTCGGTGAGTACTTTGTTTTCTATAGAGACCAGTTTGAGTATGGGGTTTGATTGCTGCTCTAATCCAAGCTGTGGAACATCTTCAATAAGTACGAGATTTTTCTGGCGCAAGTCCTCCCAAGTTGGATCATTGTCATCATGACTTTCATGGTCTTTTATCTTCGTGAAGCAATTTCTTAGTTGACTGGCCAGTTCAGCCATTTCTACTACTTTAAGGATTTTTAAGAATGATTTTTTCATGTTCTCTGACACAAAGAAGCTCCAATTTCTTGGAGTTGACAACAAAGTGAAGGACTAGAAGAAATAGTTCATAATTGGCTCCTACGCAGGTGACTGGGGGATTCACACCAAGCGGGTAGATACTTTGACGGACAAGATCAAGTCTTTGCCACAAGAGTTACGTACCGTTGGAGCGATGTTAACTTGGCACAAATTGTTAGTTCCCTAGTACACCGAAAAGGGAATCGTTGATTGAGTGGTGAAGGTTAGATAACTAATATGTTTGGTGTATCTGGCTTGCTTTTGAAGCTGTGGAAATGGCTCGAGTGAAAGCAATTTTGGAAAAGTTTGCTGCTAAGAAGCAAAGGCTAAAATTTCCGTCATCCAAAGGTAATCTTGTATAAGTTCAATACTTTAGTGGTGTTGTTGTTGTGATAGCTGACATAATCAAAGCTAAACTTATTACTTCTTGGTCTAAGACTTCAATTGATGCAGGGAAAAATGAAAGCAAGTGTTGACTTGACTTTTGTGAGGACCTATTTTCTCTCTATAGAAGCCTAAGATCTAGCCTTAAGGTTTCCTAGTGACATTCTTAAATGCCTAGAGATGGAACTTATCCACATAGAACTTCAAACCAATTCTACATTCACTTAGGGTTTTATAAGGTTAAACCCAAATC